GAATAGTCCGAATTTACATGTAATACATGATCGTACTGGTCCTGCGCGGCGTCACGCGTCGCGCAGCTACCCTAATTCAATAAATTGTGTAACTATAACAGAATCAATTTCCTAATTTGATAATTTAATTGATATAGGCAAGATAATCAATAATACGTAAAGTCATATCACACAAGACAATTTAATGTTATTAGTTGTAAGATAGATAGTTGGTAAATTGTTGTATAGTGTGATTTAATGTATTAGATTCTGATGAAATGATTTACAACGATATCGCAAAACGAAAAAGAATTCAGATTTTTGATAGAATACGAATCACGAGGAACGTAGTGAAGCGAAGCGCATGTTAGATTCGAGAATAGATTTCAAATAAGGAAGTCGTAGTGTTTCGCGGACCCGAGAAATTTCACTTTGCTGAAACAAGCTTATCAGATTCTAATAAGCTCGTTTCTGCGAATGAATCTCGGAAAATCAACAATTCCTGTTTTTTTTTTTGCTTTGTGGCACTCGTTTATACTTGCAAATCAGATATTGTATCTTCGTTCTTTTGTTAGCCTTAAAAAATAGCTCAATTCCCAAGTTCCGAATAATTAAATTTTTAATTTCTTTGTCAAAAATCGTAATAGTACTTAAATTCGGAATAATCGGTGATATATTTCCTAAATTCGTTTTTATTACTGAATAAAATGATTCAAATTTTAGTATATATTAACTAAATTCGAAATTACGCCTTTTCAATGTAACGCGTATGGAGCAGAAAACTTCTAATTTTTTTTGTGTTATTATATATGCAAAAACTTTCCAATTCTCTGTGTTAAACAATGCTAAAAATAGTTCAATTTTTCCCATCTAGAATAAATCAACATTATATATAAAATGAACATCTCATGATTGCATATATTCCATCGATGTTTATAAAAACCCATTTCTTCCCACCTTGAGAATAAATTAACTTCCGTAAGTAAAAACTATTAAACACGAAAGCTCTCAATTTTATTTTCCCTATCTTGATCGTCTTTACTATTGTTGTTCATGCAACCGAAGATTATGATAAAAAAAACCCTACATGTGAAAAGCTTTTCAATGTATCCTCTTGCAGTGATTGTCAAGAACTAATCTTTCACGATATTAAGCAAGATGAAAATGATTGCCCAGCACCCATTAGATTTATTAAAGAAGTCGCCAAAGTAATTAAAGAATCTGGTAAAGAAAAGGTTGACCCCTATGATACTACTTATTTCAAGAAAGGATTAGAAAGTTATTGTGATCAACCATTCAATTGTGATCCTCGGACAGCTGAAAAATATTGGACAAAAATTGAACATGTTTGTGCTAAAGAATTGAGTTATAAAGTAGATTGGAGCGTTGATCCTAGTAAGATGGATAGAAATACGTTTCTGGTCTTTGGTACTTTATTGAGTTATTATTTCGGAATTCCTGCAAACCATGCTTATTGTTATAAGTCTTCAAACTCTGTTGGTATATAATCTCACTTACACGTATTATCTTGGTGTTACGGTTGATCGGAAATTCAGAAGTTAGGATTTTAATGAAATAATATTCTATAAATAAATTGAGTCCTAAAATTTCTGCATTTGCATCAGCCGCAGCAATTATTAATGAATTAATGCAATAACTATATTTCTTTTAATTAAATAGAATTTTGCATGGCTAAAATTTACGAGAATATCGTGGAGTATGTCAAGAAAACTACTAACGAAGATCCGAACCCTGTTCTTTCCTTAGATTCCAAATACATTTTCAAGAGTGATGGTACTAAAATACCCATTCCTAAGAAACTTCACTGTGATGAAAAATGTTACGAGACAATTGCTAAAATGTACAAATCTTGGATCAAACATTACAAATTAAGTCCCAAAGTAGCCGAAAATCTTTTCGGTTCTGAGGATGGATTTATTGAATATCTTAGTTGTAAAGCTGATGATAAACGAGATGTTATCAGACGAACATCAGGTTCTTGCTTATCACCTCTTCGTCTTCATTCTTTTATTAATTGATTTCTGTTTTAAATTATCTTTGAATTTTGTGGCTGTCTGACTCTAGTAAGAATATTTGTAATTAGTGATAGTTATAATTAGTGATTATTAATGATGATTAGTGAGAATATACTTAGTTTATTTTTATCCCACTTAAAGTTATAAATATTTTATTCAATAAAGTTTAATCAAATAATTTTATTGCTTCAATATAAACATTTTATTTTCTAATATATATTACATTTAATGGCGCATGAATAATTATTGAGGAATTTACATATATAAATAGAGGCTAAATGTGATAATAATTATATATAAGGCCCAAATGTTACAATCAAGGGTCCAAATTTGTCGTAACTAATTAGATTGCAAGTTTTTAACATTTAACATTATAGAGATGTAATTTTCTTTCAATAGTTAAACCGTTTTACTTTTTAATTAGTATTGCATTTATTCTGTTAGCATCTTGATTGCAAAATTAGAACTATTTTTGCCAAATTCTAAAAGTAATCTAAATTTCTCTACGAATACAATGAGTTTTTTGATTCTAAATATCTTCGATTGACGCATAGTGTAACCGTTGATGGGAGCGCTTAAGAAATAATAGGGATGAAAGGTCAATTTAACTCCAACGGTGTACGGAGAGATAAAGATAAACTTAGAGGACTAGTTGGTCGATATGACGCGATGAAACAGATACTTAAAGATCAATAGAGGATGATGAAGATGACAGGGATGCTCTTAAGGGTAGAGTACATGTAGATCATTTGTCATATGATCTGCGCAGTAAATTTAAATTTACATAGAAAATAAAATA